GATTATCCCTACATATGCAACATCAAATTTGGTTGTTTATGATTTCTTCAAAGTTAAGTTTGTGCTGTTTTCTCGACTTTAGCTATTTTCACCGGCTTTTCGATCGGTGTTACACTGCAGCTCGCACAGAGCCTATAGAAATATATGGTAGAGTGGTGCGCGTCTTAAATAGCAATGCGGAGCGTCTTGTTACTTATAGTTCCACCTCGAAGAATTTGATAGCTTGGCCAAGTGCGTTGAAGAAAGAAGCAATATGATTGGCTGTTGGTAAACTGATTCTAAACTATGAGGGCATTGTCACATACACATAGCCCTAATGAAATACTTCAGGTGATAGTGGAGTGCTTCGCCAGAACATTCACATTGAAAATTCAAGATAAGCCATGTCAGTCGAGAGATAAAATAATAATTCATAATTTTTTGGTTCTAATCACATTTCAATTAAACTTGGTACATAGAGTTTTTGTTACATTGCGCAGACCTCATTAGTTTTACAATCAAATCTGTTCATGTTAATTTTCTGATTTGCATAATTAGTTTTCAGCTAAGTAATTTCAAATTATATTTAATGTATCTCCAATACTCTCAGCACATGGGAGTTCTTTCTAAGCTTTCTTTGATTGCTTTTATGTCTCATGATTTCAACAAATTTTGACAACATTTCTTTTATTCTTTTCTTTTCATGACATTGACTGAATTACCACAGGGGGTAAGTAACATTTTGCATTGTTCACATCTACAATTCAGCACATTCCTTGATTGTGCTCATATTATTGATGTACAGATATCAGTTATGGCAGTTTAGATTATTCTTGTTTGTGTTGTCAAATCATTTTTGCTTTTATGTCTCATGATTTCAACAAATTTTGACAACATTTTTTTTATTCCTTTCTTTCCATAACATTGACTGAATTAATTACCACAGATGGTAAGTAAAATTTTGCATTGTTCACATCTACAATTCAGCACATTCCTTGATTGTGCTCATATTATTGATACTGATGTCAGTTATGGCAGTTTAGATTATTCTTGTTTGTGTTGTCAAAT